CGACGGTACCTGTTCTTTCGATAGGTCGGTTCCCTTCACAGCGGTGACGTAGTGGATCAGATGATCCTCGGGATCTGTGGTTCCGTCATATACCCTCAAGTATGGTGGCATCTTGAAGGTTTTTGGGGTGGAGTGAGGGGCAGCTTCTTCAGTGTATGGTTGTTCAACGAACCTTCCCACGTCGCTTTTTGGTAGCAACTTGGGAGCACCGGGGATCTTGTCGACCCTCTCCTGATGTTCCTTCATCTGACTGCGGAGCGCCTTGTTTTCATTTTCCATTTCTTCCATCTTCTTTAGGATGGCTGTTAGCGTGCTATCGTTGGTCTGTGTCTCGATGGGTTTGTCATTAGCTAGTGCAACTTCCGGTTCACCCACGGCAGCAGTGATACCTACCGTTGGTGTACACCCGATGTTACTTTGTGGTGACCTCTCAACCAAGCCGCTTAGAGTGCTTGTTAGCCATCTTTCCAGTAGCTCCTTGACCGCTGAGGGTGCTTCTGTAGCCGCAGATGTGGAAGCTCCTTTTTCGTGCAAGATCGTCAGACCTTCGAATGGGGAAGGTGAGATCTCTGCACCCGGTGTGATGCTAGGGGTTGCATTCGGGATGCCATCGTCACTGGCCTCGTTGAGAGGGCCAAGGAGATTAGTAGTGACACCCAATATCGCTTTCGATCTTGTGTTATTTTCGGCCATTTTCTGTTTCTGTGTGGTGTAAAGAGTGGTAGTTGGTTGATCTCTAGGTGGATACTATGGTTTTGATTCTCGAAATCCCCACAGACGGCGCCAAATTGTTTGGCTCAAAAGTTAACAATATACTTTGTAAGCTAGAAAACAATCAAAAGTAAGAAAAGGGTAAATCGTAATCAAATATAATAAACCTAGAGATGCAAAGATGATATTATTGTGGTAGATCTAGTATTGCAAAGTGATAATATGAACTCAGTAAGATATGTTCGTTTGAGGTAGAGATAGAGAGAGAAAGCCAGAAAATGAGAGGGTTGTATTAGATCCGAATCCCCCTTTTACAATGTGAAGGTCTCCTTTATATAATAAGAGACCTTCCTCGAAAGAATCAAAAAGTTACAAAGACAGGTAACGTCTCCCGGTGAAAACACTGAGTCCTAAACGATGTCGCTTTTGTCCCCACGTCCGAGTCGTACCCGCTACGTTAGTCGTCGTACACTCACTGGGCGCACCCACTGGCGTAGAGATGCTGAGGGTCAAATTTGACCCTACGACTAAACTTCAAAAGAAGGGTAATAATCTCAACAACTTAGAAACAATATGACAAGGAGTACATTTGCGAAAAACTGCAGTTCTATTTTTCACTTCCATTGCACAGATCACTTTGCTACCACAAACCTCAAACTCAAGGCAGATGAACGAGGATTTAAAATCAAAGTACCAAAGTCCAAAAGTTATCGACAAAAAGGCTACTGTGTGACAATTAGGGAAGCTTACAAATTGTTTGAACCAAAAGTCTAAGTGGAAATAAGGGAAGAGAACAAACGGAAAAAAGGTGTGACACATGCTCTGGTAAATAACTTGGTTTTTTTGTGTAACAAAAATCTATGGCTAGCTTAAACACACTGAAGTCGTAAAATTTTAACCACTTTTCAGAAGCGTAAAATCTTTTCTGAGAAGAAGAATTTATCATCAAACTGAAAAGTTTTAGTTTGTATAAAGCAAGGGAAAGATGCGACTCACATCATAGAGGATGTCTCCAAGCTTCAACTTGATTGCTCCACTCTTGTAAACCAGCATTTTCCCCATGTTCCCCGCAGGTAACTTTTCCAAATTGCAAGCTTCCTTTGCAGTATTATGCCTTCTGGAAATTGTAGAGCTGTCAACTATCTCTTTCCCCTTTGCACTGGCAAGAAGTCTAGGAGCAGTGCCAGCTGCTTCTTTTCCCTTAAGCATAGGCGATGGCAAGCAGCCAGCAGTATCTCTACCTCCTTTGGTAGCTAGGGGTAAATTAGCTGGAAGCTGAAGAAAAAGAATCTGTACATCGTCCTTCTTTTCCTGTTAATCAAATATCCATATTGGTAACCCATGTGCAGACATTTTTGTTTTTCTAAAATATGTTTTTGTATTCTGAATTTATTGCCTAGAGCAGATACCAGTAAACCAAGCTCTGAAGCAGGATGTATATTAGTTTCATCATACTCTGCATTTGCTGCAGCCTTTCCAAATTCAGCTTCATCTAAAATTTCTACAAGCCACAAAGAACAGGAATAAAGGTTATATGCGAAATCATGACATGAAACAAGAGAAACGAGCACCAGAGTGATAGCATCTTCTTTAAGACTATATCCTTTCACTAATAGGCAACAGTTATTACATACGGGAGCACAATGATTTTGTTTCTTTATCAACATTCATCACTAAAAAGAGTATATGATTTGAAACAAATTTTATGCGCCCAAGCAACTCCACTGACAAGAGGGACCAAACTATACTCTTCCACTTGCAGCAGAATAGTTGGAAATCGTAGAGAAAGACAGTAGCACGGTACTATAACAGATAAATACTTGAGACAACATCCCAGATTAAGTATATTACAGCAGGCACCGATATTAAGGCAAAAACTGAAGTTTCGAAGTATTCAAAGTGGAAAAAGGTCTAAAAGTGGATAGACATTTAACTTTTTTAATGAATTCACACTTTTATGGTAAACTGACAGAAAGGTATTTTCCGTTTGGTGATATGAGATGGACAATTACAGGGACAAGTTTTTAATTTACAGAAATGGACATACTTTTGAGGCAATGTACGGGAAAATAAACTAGTCAATTAGGGGCAAATGGAGTAGATTATTTTTGCGTAAAGATATTCTGTTCAATCAGAAATACCTGGGTCTCCAGCATAAGGTCTTCTCAGAGGAAGAGTTATAGGATAGTTGGTATGATGGTAATCCTGCCAAAGCATCAAGAATCAAAAGGGTCAAAATTCATGGACGTTGGCTTGTGCTTTGTGTGCATAAAGAGAAGTGATGCAGGAAAATCCTTTACCCAAGGCTCTTTATACTCTTTCTTCTTCCTTTTAAATAAAGCATCTGAATTACTGACTGAAATTTCAGCAAGATCTGCTCCAATACTTGCAGGTAAAGGAGGTGAAGAATCGATGTCCATCCTATCATCAGATTCAGGGTCTTTCACAGTACTACCCCGATTGACAGTGAGTTCCTTAGGCTTTCCAAAGGTCCTTATGGAAGTTGGTGATGCTACTCCATGAGCAAATGCAACCTCAACTGCTGCTTTCATTTGAATGCCAATGCATTTGCATTTTTAAAAAAAAAATTAATCATTGATGACCATAAACGATAAGGAATGAGAAAACTGCCAATAACCAATATGATAAATAAACTTTTGGGAGCACATATCTATCCAGAAACTAGGAGATTCTAACTTTCATGGCAGAACCCTGACAAAGTTTCAGAATCCAACCTTATGCTACAAAGCTGTTCATCCAAAGATCAGGAGCACATGCAATCATACGCCATTTATTTTGGGATTCTATGTATTTAGAAGGCGCCACGATACATAGAACATATATAGATCGATCAAACTAGTATATCTCTATCTAGGAACCATCCAAACAGTAACTTCTGCCCCAAATATGTACGATGTATCACTCTTTTGAAAATATGCTTGGTTATTTAACTCTATCCATGATTGAACATCCTTAGTCTTCTTTAGATTCAAACATTAGAAAATCTTGTTTGAAAGGAGAAGTACGTAAAAGCTACTCCTTGTCAGGAATATCAAGTACCTTAATACATTAGCATATGCAGTCTGTACCATAGACACAGTGGCGGATCCAGGATTTTAAAGTTATGGGTGCTCGCCGATAAAAATTTCAAAAGAAGAGGAAAAATGAATTTACTTGTGGGTGCTCACTCAATATTTATCTAAATATTTGTCCCGTTGCCTACATAAATTTATTAATATGGTCAAAGTTAATGGGTGCTTACTCTATGTGCATCCGCCACTGCATAGACACATGCACAATGAGCACCATCTATCTTACTACAGTAGCAAAGAGAAATAGCGATGTTTCATAGAGCGCAAAATCACAAATGAATAGCTTTATCTAGATATGCTAACTAACCGGCACATGAAAATTCTGTATCCTTCTTCCAAGTCTTTCAACATTGCATAACAAATAATGAAGTAATCTTTGTATTTCTTACAGTAAAAATGTGTTAGCTTCAGTTGAGAAAGCCATTTCAGGCTTAAAAAAATTTTGATTGGTAGAAGGCACTGATATTTCCCTTCTTTCCTCTTTCCCTTTCCAAAAACCAGACTTAAACACACAACATATTAATCACAACGTATCTCATTGTTTACTATGCCTGCATTATGCTATATGCATAAAAACTTGAATAGTGAGATCAACCTTTACAACTGACACTAAACGGAAGTATCAATTAATCATTTAAGGAGAAGAGAAAGCTTACCTTTTTTCTCTGTTTTGGGTTTCTGTCTAGTCAGGCGCTCCTGATCAGATGAAAGATAATTGTTATTGGAAAAAGACTTAAGAAGACTAGAATTGTAAATTTGTAACAGAAATACTACTAAAATGATCTAAACTATCACTACGTAGCTAAGATATAACTTCTATACGAAATGGTGATATGGATCGAGAAAAGGATGGTCTACCAATTACAGAAAATATTGTTAATATACTTTTCACGAGAAGGTTTTGTCGAAAGCGTGAGAAAACAACAATTTTTTTTGGTTTAACCCTGCAACGTTGAAGGAATAGAAAAAGACCCTATAGAAATATTTTCAATTATAAATGGCATCGACCTGGTATTCAGCTTTTGTCATCAATAAAGAAATACATCCTCTCAATTCCTCTATCAGATATTCCACGCAACATAAAATTTCGGTAATAATTCCATTTTAATCACCTATATCATCTAAGGTGTAATGGTGTATTACACATTATATCTTTTTCTTCCAAAGTGATGTAAACTTATTGATTGCAACTCTACTCTAAAGTTCCATTCATTTGGATTCAAATCCCCATTATAGTTTTTCCCTCTTCTCCTTCTTCCCCTTTCTAAATTCACAGGGCCACCTCACCTAAACCACCTTTATTTTCTCTATTATTTTTGGAAACAACTAGTTTTATAATTTTATCGAATGCCCCCCCAAGGGAACCAACTATTTTTATAGTGACCATCATCCTACTGCAGCCTTTTTCCCTTATTTGGCCTCGAGATTGGCTATGCAAAATCTCAAGTAGGAAGAGTTTGTATAAAGCGAGATAGAAATATGAGGATTGATATAGCCAACTCCAATTAGTTTAAGGTTGAAACATAGTTTTAATGGATGTTTGAGCATGAAAGTCTAGGGGAGCGATGCAAATATGAAATAACACTACTACATGAAATGCTGGATGGTTCATTTTAAAACAAATAAATAAATAAATAAAATACCAACAGAAATAAAAAAGAAATTCTTGAAATCCAAAAAGCAAAACCAACCAAATGTCAGAGCTGACATGACCTTGGCTGACTACAAATATCCAACTAAAGTTCGTTTCAGTTCTCGAAGTGAAGCTAATAAAATACTAGACAAAAAGCTACTAATTAAATAAGGATTTTAAGTTCTATGTACTAATAATGTAAAATAAATTAAAAGAATCAAGTCTCATATAAGGTGATTACAAGTAAACATATATTTTTTTGTATGAAGGTAAAAGGTAATTACAAGTAAATTTATATGATAAACATTTTGTAAAAATAACAATGCACAAAATATTAGAACACTGTCAGTTTCTCAGTTTTATAACTTTTTTTTTTGAATTTTTCGCCCGTGTCCGTAGAACGCTTCCTACCAAAATTTTTTTCATTACAAAACTCAAACCGAGACGTCTGATTAACTTCCATCATTAAAATAAACACAAAATAATTATTATACTTTTTTTACGTACCATATAACTATAATTTGAAGACGTGACGCTACAAAATAGAACTACGATCTCTAATCATTGTGCTAAAACTATAAACACATAACAATTAAAAAGAAAAAGGAAGGGTAAATTACATTAACACGGTGCAGAATAGCCTCCGCAGCTTCATTATCATTGGTATCTTCATTTCCATCTGCTTCACTGCAAAATTAAAAAATAAATAATATATAATAATAATAATAATAATAATAATAATAATAATAATAATAATAGCAGTATTAAGAAACATACACTGTAAATGCAAAAAATAAAAAGAAAAAAAAGAAGGAAAATATAAAAGAGGATTACGTTTTAGGTTGTACGGAATTCTGCTTCTTTCGACGGGGAGGTGCTTTCGGAGCAAATTTAACCTGTAAAAGATAGAAGTTAAAAAATGAAACTATTATTAATAGAAAATAATTTTGGAGGATAATGGAAGAAAAATTGGAAATTTGAAAACCTTTCTGGTTTTGGGAGGAGATGAGGGTAAATCTGGATCCATAAGTAGAATTTGAAGGACTTGAAGCTAAAATTTGGGAAAATATGGATGAGAATCAAAGGATCGGAATCAGAATTGCAGAAGATTCTGCAAAAAAAGCTGCAATGAAGATGGTGAAGAAGAAGAAGAAAAAAAGAGTAGAACGTGGTTCGAACCCTAGACGTTCCTGAGGGAAAATAACTCTGCGACCAACTGACCTATACTATTTTTTATTAGGCCTTGAGAAAATATAATACATGTAGAAACTAATATTACTTCTTGTTGTATTTAGGGGTCGTTTGGTAGCCGGTTAGAGAGGAGTTATCCATGTATTAAAACTAGGATAACTTTATACATTGTTTGGTTAAAAGAAGGGGGGAAAATAACCTCCACATAGAAGCTAGCATAAGTTATACAATATTTGGTTATTTTTTCCTCTTTTTCACATAAAATGTAGCATTGCTAATACAATGTTTGGTTCATGTTTTTCTTTTCCGCATAACTAATACATGTATAAGTTATGAAAGAATCTATGTATTATTTATGCTGGGTAGAAGGTGGAATAACTTATACATGTATTAGTAATACTTGTATTAAACCACAAATGACAAGAATACTCTTTATTCAAACTTGGAATTTTTTGTTCAAAAAAAAAAAATTAAACCATACTAACAATCTTAATAAAATAAAGTAAGCTAATAATAAATAACACTCACATTACATTTATATTACTAATCCTTATATAACTACCTCATAACTAATCCCCACATAACTCAACCTTGCATAACTTATCTCTGCATAACTAATACATGCATAACTAATTCCTGCATTACTTATTCCTACATAACTATACATACATAACTAATACCTGCATAAATAATATATGTATAACTAATACCTGCATAACTCTAACCGGCAACTGGCCAAACGACCCCTTAGTGTATTCGTATGTCTAGACTTCTATTATTACTTATTGTTTTCTTTGCTTCGGTTTTCTAATTGTACTACCTAGTTTTAGTTTTGTATTTTCGCTTGGTTTGCTTGCCATTGCCTTCTCCTTTTATTTTTCATTAGCCGAGGTTCTTCCAGAAACAACCTCTCTGTCTACTAAAGGTAGGGGTAAGGTTTACGTACACACTACACTTTCCAGAACTCAGTTATGAGAATACACTGAGTTTATTGTTATTGTTGTTATTGTTATTGTATACTATAAACAATTTGATGCTTTTATTATATGTTTAAGAGATAAACTAATATGAGAATATATATTAATTAACTATAAGTAAATGATAGAGATTGATAAACTATGCATCTAATGTTTTGGTACAAAAATCAAGAAGAGGTAAGTTTTTGTAATTCTATTTCCACTAATGTGTTTGCTTGTTTGGTATGGCAGGAGTCCAATTTTTCCTATGAAATCATTTTTCATGTGAAAGTCAAAAGGGGTAATATGACATCTATCACTTTAGGACGGAAGTCATTTAGAAGTATCTTAATTTTATATTAGTTGTTCTAGATAACACTTTGAAGGGTCGTTTGGTATGAGGTATAAGTAGATGTAGTGGTGGTATAAAATTTTAATACCACATTAATACTTTGTTTGGTTAGCAAACCTGCTATAAGTTATTCCGAAATTAAAATTAGTACCGGAATAACTTATACCTTGTAGGGATGGGATAATTAGTGCGGGGATAACTTATACCTTCTTCTTAGAAATTATGCGATTGTCATTTTTAATACAACATACCAAACGTGGATAAAAAACAATATCACGATAACTAATCCCAGCGTAACTAATCTCAGCATAACTTATCCCAGCGTAACTTATCCCCGCATAAGCCGTATTCAAACCAAACGATCCCTGATATTATTATTAATCTTAGTACTATTAAAATTTTCAGTGAAAACACTCGCGATTTGATAACAATATTATTACTCTTAAATAAATATTTACAAAAAAAAATTCGTATACCAACCGAACACCAAAAATATATTCTGAAAGAACATGACATCAGGCTTATTACACATACCTTGATCTTCTAATTTTCAACGTACCATCATCCATTAATTACTCTATCTACACTTTAAAATCAAGTTTTCATAGTTCGCTGCAAGCATGCAGTGTTATGCTTAAATTAACAAATGAATTGGGAACTACTTATATAAATGTTTTTAAAATAAATCAATAAATAAAGACGTTTCGATGGTTCATGGTTAACAGTATGAAGATACGATTTTTTTTTTGGTGCAAAAGATGGTACTTTATATAATATTAAGCTTGAACGTTACAAGGAGTAGGAGGCAACATACACAACATCCTAGGGGGCGACCTCTGGATGGGTCGTAACAAAAAGGGGATGCCTGTTGGAAACTATTAGATGGGGAAGCCGTTGCTGGAGGATTACAAAAAAGCATGCCAACGGTGCTAGTCCGGCAGTTAGGTTGTAGTTGTGTAACAAAAAGTGTTCCCAAACGGTCTTCTTCTAGCGTCTTCTGGAAAAATGGCGGTGGTTGATCAAAAACGGTGATGAGTGGTGAAGCCTCCATTTGGAAACCATGTTTATGTAAAGAGCCGGCTACCTGGTTTTGCTCCCTGTACGTGTGAAGGATGACTGGATCATTCAGTTCGGCGATCACAGACCTGCAATCAAGGTAATGTTAGCATAAAGTGGATGGGAGATATGAAGTAGAGTAATAATAGCCTTGGCATCTAAGTTGACTTCAAGGGGTGCATATCCGTGAGTGAAGGCCAAGTTGAGACCATGGTAGAGTGCAAGTAGCTCAGCTTCCATGCTCCCACGAATGAGGCGATGACCCGCGAAGCCCAGATGCCAGTTACCCGTTGAATCACAGATGACTCCACCAATTCCCCCATGCAAAGTGTGTTGTGCGGCCGAACCATCAGTATTTAGTTTAAAGTAACCTGGACTATGAGGGTGCCACTTGATGTGCATAGGGATACGTGTAGATGTGGTGTAAGAGGGGCAACTTTATAGTAGAATTCTGCAGCCATACGAAGAATATGAGATGCGGAGAGGGGTTGATTATGGGATCGAAAAAGTTTTCCATTACAGGCCAGCCAGATGTGCCATAGGCCAAAGGGGATAAGTATGTCATTAGGGACATTAAGGGAATTCGGCGTGGCAGTATGCAAAATGAATTGTTTGAGCCATGTGAGAGGAGGTCAACATTACTCTAAAGCTTCGTAATGTCTGTTATCATGGATAAAGTTGACCAAAGGTGTACTGTAACTGGATAGTGGAGGAATAAATGTGTTATTATTTCAGAGTGGCTGAGGCATAGGGCGCATGTGTCGTCTTGGAGGAAGCCTATGTGATGATAATGGCTAGCAGTAGGGAGGCGGTTATGGCTAATCGGCCAAAGGAAGTGTTTAATTTTAGGAGGAAGCCAAAGCTTTCAAATCCAATTAAAGGATGGTCCTGGGTAGGTGGGGAGTAAGTGGTGATAGAGTGATTTGGTGGTGAAGGTGCCCCTTGAATCTAGAGTCTAGGCAAATGAATCGGGGTTAGTGGTGTGGGAAGGAATATATGTATTAAGGATGCGTTGTAGGAGCTCTGACGGTAGTTCAAAAGGGACATTGGTGAAGTCCCATTGGTGACGGGTAAGATAAGTGGATATTGTATCAAGGAGAGCGTGGCGGGGTAGAGGCCTTGTGATATATTGCCGCAAGGGTTGATTAGATCCGTTCCAGGAATCATACCAAAAGTTAATGAGTGTGCCGTCACCGGTGAGCCACCTTATGTCTTATTGACAGAGGTGCCAGCCTATGAGGAGGTTATTCCAAATAAAGGAGCCATGCGCGTGTGGATTGGTCGTTTGGTAAAAGTATTTGTGGTGAAGGGTAGCGGCCCATAAGGAGGAGGGGTTGCGAAGCATTCGCCAGGCTTGACTTGCTAATAAGGATTTGTTTTTTTTGGGGAAGGCGTTGTATACCGAGGCCACCATGAATTTTTGGCATGGTGACAGTACTCCATTTTACGAGGTGGATTTTCTTTTTATTGGGAGTGGTGCCCCAGAGAAAATTGTGTTAGCAACCCTCTAATTGGGAGAGGATAGTTTGAGGAATTTTAATGTATCGCATGACGTGAGTGGGGAGGCTATTCAGAGTGGAGTTAATAAGAGTTCTGCACCCTGCCATAGAAAGGAAGTTTGTTTTCCAACCCGCAAGCTGTTGTTTAAAGTTATCAAGTATGAACTGGAAATGACGTTTGTTGGGCCATTCAGTAAAAATTGGGAAACCTAGATATTTACCAAAAGATGTGCCTTCATGCATGTTGAAAGATGAGAGAACCAAATTCTTGTCCTGGGAGGAACAATTTTTGAGAAGAAAATTTTCGATTTTTGGAAGTTGATTTTTTGACCTGAGACGCGATTGAAGTCATTAAGTGTGTCAATGATGGCATGACAACTGCTTGTTGATGTTGAGGATAATATCATCCGCAAAGAACAAGTGTGAAAGTGCGGGGCCATATGTTGAAAGACGAATGGGTTTCCATAGTTGATAATCGACAGCCATATCGATTTTGCGAGTAAGTAATTCCATACATAATATGAAAAGGTAAGGGGAAAGGAGATCTCCTTGACGAATGCCACGTCAGGGTGGGAAGAAAGGGGTGTGGGTACCGTTGATGAGGATAGAAAGTGAGGAAGTGGTGACGCATGACATAATTAATTGAATGATGGGCAGGGGGAATTTGAAGTATTGGAGAACTTGACGAACGAAGGACCATTCAATGCGGTTGAAAGCTTTTTCTAAATCTAGTTTAAGAAGCATAAGACTAGTTTTACCCGATTTTTTCTTGAAGTGGTATAAAATTTCTTGTACAGTTATAGCATTATCAGCCGCTCTTCGATGTTGTTGAAAACTAGATTGGGTAGGGCTGATAAGTGTTGGCATAAGAGGTTTGATACGTTGGACTAAAAGTTTTGTAATGATTTTATATATGGTGGAACACAGTCCAATAGAGCGATATTGAGTAATCATGGAGGCGTATCGAAATTTTGGAATGAGGCATACGTAAGTTTGATTAATGGATTCAGGAACTTGAAAGGTTTAAAATATTTGGTGACAAAAGTCAATGACCTTTGGTCCCTCTTCCGGCCAGTAATGTTGGTAAAAAAAAAAGGGTGTAGTACATCGGGTCCTGGTGCTTTGAAGAGTTTAAATGAGTTTACTGCTAAAGGATTTCGCTATTTGATA